ATTTGCAAAAACTTCACATCACTCCAGTTCTGAGGTCTCGACACTGTCCTCCTGTTTGTCAAATAATTGATTTAAAAATACTACTGTTGGTTATTAAAGCACAGAGTGGTTTATGGACAAAGTACATTCACAAGCGTCTCCCAGAAAACTGCAGGACTTCAAATCAAGGCTCAAGACTTTTCGGTTTCCCTTTTATTAAATCATTTCTTGCACTGTAACTTTTTATTCTTATTCTTATTCTTATGTCTTGTTTTATATTCTCTTGAATATAATAACTATTTTCAATTGTATTTATGTCTTTTTTGGTGTCCTTTTTTGTCTTTGCATTTTGATGTTTAAGTAATCATCGGCCGTTGTGGACACACCTAGCTGAGATCTGCGCGCTACTGAGTGCTCTTCTATTTTCATTATGTGATTTTCATTGTGCTTCAAATTGAATCATTCATTATCTTTTTGATGTTAAATATGAATGATTTAGTTGCCACCACTGATGGCTCATATGTACTTGTGATGAATTAATAAACAGGTGCCGTATATAGCCACAGCTAACAGTCACATATACGGCTGATCTGACATTGTTGGAGAATCTTGCCGCCGTGGCACAATGGTTAGGCCTATAATTACACTTTTCATTGACAGATAGAGCAAGTGGTTCAGCGGGTAGAAGTATTAATATGGAAACAGATGATTAAGATCGTGTCTGCATGAAGAGATTTATAAAACAGAATATATTTTTGATGCAAACAACACGCATGCTTCACATATTTCCTTGTGTTTTATTCATTAGTTTGATACATCTGGCTCCTGTTATCCTCAAAAAATTAAAAAAGGTGACAGTTCAAAAATAATTTTGCAATCCACTATTGTTTTTCCCATTTAGTATTTACTAGGTTTCAATATTCAATAATTATGCTCATTTCAAAAACTATTTCAAACAAAATTCTTTAAGTGCATGTGAGTATGCCCCAATAGCTTGCTCATGACCGCACCTCTGCACTTTACGCTCGTCGCAAGTGTAGTGCCAAGCCTCCGGTTCCCCCTCAGGTATAAACTCTGTTAGCTCTGTCAGCACTGTTGCTGGTGTTTGCACTGTTAGCGCTGTTAGCACCGTTAGCTACAAAGCTGCCGGGTCAGCCATTATATGAGTCATTTAGAGGCAATAAATATGCTTTAAATTTTGCGTTTAGCACCTTTTAAAACTTAAGACTAGTGAATGATGTTCTTTACTATTTGTCATGTTCCATAAATCTCTGGGGCCTCTCACTCCTGTAAGGTCTCCTATTATGACACCTGAGTACATTTCTCACAACAGCCTGATAGGTCAATCTGGGATAGAGCTACCCAGGGGCTTTTCAGCACATAACACCCTGATACCATTTTCATCAACGGAGAGGTACACCCATGTACGGTTAGATTAATGTCACCCCCCCCCCGCCACGCAGGCCCTCCTCTATCTATTTTTTTTTCAACTTAATCTGTGTCCAGTTCACAAACCTCAGCAGCTTAAAATTTAATCTCAGAAAGAATAGAACTGCACTGTGCAAGCCTGCAATTTTGTTTGGCAAGCTGAAAAAGATTGGCCATCTGCTCAACAAATAATACAATGTTCATAATTGTATCTTCTTTCCACCTGCATGTGTTCTGCAGTTGCCACTTTTTTGTTTCAGAATTGTGCAGACAAACATGTGCATGCTTTTGTTACATTGCTACATGTTTTTTTGCCCATCCATCCACCTATACTTTTATTTTCTATATGCTTATTACATTCACAGGCAAATTTCTTCATGGTAATAGTTTGAAATTTCACATAGAAGTTAAATGAAAATTGCACCTGAATATATGAGTGCTGATGATAAAGAATGGAGCTACGTGACCAAATTCAGAATATATAATATTTTTATTTTTACTTAGATTATACCATATATGCTAATTTATGATTTCCATTTACATCCTAGACTAAAAAGAAATGTCGTCTTTTGTGCTCCGTTTCGATAGGCTGGGGAGCTTGCTTTTATCCTGGATGTGAAGAGCCTCGTAGCAATATGTAAGCATCTGGTTTGGGAGCAGCCAGCGAGTAGAAACTGTTGCAGTGTGAGCTTTGTCAGGTGCATATATGGTGCAGTCCATTGGGAAAACATTGGAGGACTATTTGGGACACATCGTGATTTAATCGTTCTTGATAAACAAGTGACTGGTTTCTGCTCGTGAAGATTACATGAGCTTTCATTCATAAACGACTATCATCCCTCTAATTGCAACTTATCTATTGTTACAGGAGGGTTGGTTAAAATATTTCAGTTCCTTGACCAGGTAGATGTTTCACCAAATTGTGATTAGTGTTGCACAGAAAATATCTTTGGAGCAATGCTGCTTAGTTAACCAGATTTGCTAGCTCGCTAATCAGTCTGATGGAGCTTGACACTACCCAAATCATTAGCGTCATGACCGGCCAGTGGATGAGTGCATTAGCACTGGTCAGACATGTAATTAGCAATATTTCACAGAGTGAAATTAGCATTCATTTGGAGATATTTTTCTGCTGATGTGTAAGTTCAAATATTCACTCTCCTTTTAGTTCTGTTTGTCTCTACAAATTCCTCAGCGGCTAAATCGTCGACCATGTTTACCAGCCAATCTCAAACTTTGTTTGTCTGCTGTTTGTTGCTGGGCAGGCTGCATACGGTCGTATTCTAAGAGTTTCTTTGACTGAAAACAGCTGTCTGTAGAAACAAGGTTGGTGAGAAGTAAGAGTGAGCCATACAGTAAATGTGCTGCAAAACCAAAAGGTCAGGTAGGTTTGTCACCAGGAGCCACGTCTTTCACATGAATCAGTCATTTGAGCCATTGTTAATTAAAAAAACATTGATTCATTGTTGCTTCAACTTCCAGGTGCGTTAATTGAATAAAATCAACTAAAATAAATAGCAAGATGATCAGCTTTCATCCAGCAAAGTATGTTTAGAAAGCCAACCAGCTCTTTACAGCTACTGTCCTAATATGGCATGCCTCTTGAAATATTTATATTCTGTAATAAAAACCTCTTTTGCATATTTGACACAAATCTCAAAACTGACCTCTAGCCACTCTCACTCACCTTAGAGGTAAAGGGAGGGTGAAAACGACTTCCCAATCTTTGGCCGAATATCTGATAAAGAGCTACGTCGGATTATATTCAAATAAATCTGCCCGGTACTGGCTGGACAGGACTATTAAAAGCACATGTGTGACACTGGTGTTCAGGATGATAAGGGCGCACCACTGACTTGCATTAGCTTCTGGAGAACATTTTGCTTGGTTGATAAAAAAGTTAGAGCCTGTCATCTACTGTAGGCTGTATCCCAAGATGATGGGATGTGACTGGGTTTGAATGGGCTTTATATGGTCCTGCTGCATTTGATGAGGAGAATGAGCTATAACCATACACTGCAGTCTGGAGGAGAACGACAAAGAACAGTGATGGAGTTATATGAAGCCACAGTAAGCCTGAAAGTTATTCACTAGCACATCCTACCATTCACATTTTCCACCATGTGTAACAAACCCTGTTATGCAGGTGTACTTAATACTTAAGTGTTTGTTTTTTCAATCTGGACATGTGCTTTGTTCTATTTAGATTTAACGGCTCAGTGCTACAGTCTGAGCGCATGTCTTCGCTCATCCTGCCTTTAACCACTTGTGTAATCAGTTTGTTCCAGGCTATTTGTTTTGCATTGCAGACACTGAAAGCATTTCTCTTAATAAGCAGGATGTGAAAATGTGTTTCCTAGTATGCATGTAAGCATAAGCTGACTTGTACCGTTGAGCTACAGATGTGCACTTGATCACTTGCTTCAATCGCCACATGTGGTGACAAAACTAACGCAACCTATAACAGTTGATTTAGAATTATTTATTTTTCTGTTTTTTCTGCTGCCACCTAAATACAATGACTGGGATTTAGTTTATGGTGCTCACATCATAAAAAACTTAAATAAAGAAAACAGCAAGTTGTTTTTCCAGAATCAGTGTTCATGTTACTCTGGATAATCTACAGACTTGGCTGTCAACAGTTTTCATTGGATCTACTTTCTACCAAACAAAAGATCCCAGCATTTCTTAGATTGAAGAAATTACATTGACCTTCATTTTATTTGCAAGAAGGCTATAAGACCTGATGCGCCGGATTGCTTTGCTAACAGAACCATTTGAGAGGCCGTCATTGGCAACTGTTGGAAAAGGCAAGAACTTCCAAAAGATAATTGGCAGAACAATCTGTCAAACGCTTTCCGAAGCCAGTCGAGAGACGAGCAAAAATACGTTTTCCATCGAGAAAAGTCTTCAGTGGCCATCTTTGCCCTTCTTTCAATGGAGAAATACTCTCCAGTTCTGATAAAACCGTTGCAGTATCTACGCCACCATTATTTAACAAACAGTCACCTCTCCGTATCGTGTCACACACACCTGAACCACACCCGTAGCCGACACAAGCTCCTCACAGGAAGCTTATTGGTCTCATTACTTGAAGTCTGACAAAATAGATTTTTGTGTGATCTTCTGTCATCGTGAGAATCCAGCTGCCGTACAAGTTATTGAAGGCTAGGCCTATATTTTAAAACCTGGTCCAACTTAGATTTCTAGGAATTTAGTTCATAAACATAAGGAGAGAGATCGTGTGAATGGCATTTCATTGTTATGTTTAGGGAAATAAAAGCAATTGGTTTAGATATGACTAGACATTTTGGGGGAAAAGCACATTTGCTTATTCAAGAATTGTCGAGAAGATCGATACGACTCTCATGTTTTGTTCGGTACAAATGAAGTGATCACCTAGATTAGCACAAAGCAGGGTTGAACAGCCACCCTGACTATGTGCTGAAGGTACATAGTACCTCTAATGCTCACAAATGAACAAGATATAACAAGTGCCCTGGTCAATGACATACAAAGGTAGGGTAAGTAGGGGTAGAAGAGTTTAAAATTCAAAAATCTAAATGTTATGGACGGGTTTGGATACACCTCACCTTGAGGTGGCACTTGCGTGGGCTTCAAAGCCCTCCTCCATCTTTGATAGCTCTGATGAGTGACATTTACTGGACTGAAAAGCCCTCAGAGCTTTTTGCATCAAGGGAGGGAAGGTGGGAAGGTGGGAAGTGATTTTCAGTATTGCTCACAGGAAATGTTACTAAAAGCATGCGTGAATAAGCAATCATGTTGCCAGAAATGTGAACATGCAGCCAAACAGAATGAACACAAGCATGCATTGAATTAGCTGGAAAATAGGCAATAGGACACTCTTGTATGGAGCTTGCATTTCTCTCCTCCAATAGTTTGACTGTTTGCACTGCTCCACATATATGTTGAATCAGTTCATCAACAGGGTTTTTACTGATGTAACTATAAGCTATTCAAAGCAGCAGATAATAATCAGCCTGGTGAAGCACTTAGAATAACAAAGACCCACCTAATGTCTAGAGCTCTTTGTCCACAGCAGAATTACATAACACTTTGTCATCCAAAAAATTAATATGGATCCTTTACCTTGAGCCTGCTGTGTGCGAGAGACGCTGGACTCTTTCTCCCCTTCTTATATATCACTGCCTATCGCCAACGTGTGTTTTGGCAGAACGCAGCCTCCGTCTAGCCAATGCTGGTGTGTATTTGTATGAATCTGTAGAGCTGAAGATATCTAGTGTTTCTGATGCCAGCAAGTGGGAACTACACGCGGCATGCTCATTGGTGTGAAATCGCGGGGGGGAGAGAGGAGCCGATACGGATAGAGGGAGAGGCAGAGGGGGTGGAATAAGAGAGAGATGGAGGGGGAAGAGAGCTTTGTTTGCACGGGGAAATCTCCAAGGACAACCTGAACACATCTGTGAAGTGGAGAAGTGCTGTTCAGTGATGTTGTGGTTGAAGAGATGTAAATGTGTAGTGCAGCAGGGATGCTGGGGGTGCTATGTCAAAACCTCAACAGAAAACTAGAATAAATAGAATGCATTTGTTTTCATTTCGTGCTGAATGAATGCTCTGCATTTAATGGATCCAGCTTCTGAAATGTGATGATTTTAAATTGGGGTTGTTTTTTCGTTTTTTTTTAACCCTTAAATGGACAAAATAAGCTATTTGAAGATGCTAATGTTACATTGCATTTTTTAATTAATTGTTGGAGCATGTGACAGAAAGAGACAAAGGGAGAAATAGTGGATACGGTTTAAGACTAGAAAGGAGAGTTCATTATTAGGCGAGACTAAGTATTCCACAGATGATTTATAGTAAATGATGGATTTCGCTCACTAAGCACAGACCACAGCAGGTTCACTACCATGCCATGTGCATCTGTGTACATGTTAATTAACACAGCATATACAGTGCACACATGTAAACTAGCACTCAGAAGGTGCCATGGGAATAATAACATGAACGTTCTTTCTGGTAGCAACAGCAAGCAAATAATTTCTCTCACAGTATCTCTCTTTAGTAAATATTGCATATCCACAAACACACGCAAAGCACACAGGAATTGCGATTGCACCTTTATGCATATAAAATCATATTGAAGATGAAGTAAGTGCATAGAAAATAAAGAGGGAGTGCAGAACAGTTATCTTGCAATCTTGAGAGGAAGATATAATCTGCAAGGAGCTGAGAGTGTGGAGGAGGCAGCCTGGCAGAGGACATATAATTCCTGCTACTGAATAGACAACCAAGTGTTACATAAAATCACTCACACACAAACACGCACGCTCACACACAGAACCATGCAAAAACACTGCCTACACACACACATGTTCCATGTCTCTATCCTTCTTTCTCTCTTTCCTCAATTTCAGACACTTACAAACACATCATTCTATCGTGTCAAGAATTCAGGGTTGCACACAAGTCTGTAAAAGCTATGGTTCAGAGAATTAACTCGAGAAGCAAGCAAAATCCATTAAGAAATTTGAGTAGCTTTATGGATCAATACTGTAAATATAAATGTTGAAACAACCAATTTAAGAATCAAGAGAAGGCATGGAAATACAAGACCAAGAGTTGATGATGGGATGTTTGAAAAGAGGTTTCTGTATTCTGATGAATTACATAACCACAGCAAATACCATTTGAACAAAAGAGTGAAAAAACAACAACATTTGGTGTGCTTCCAGTCAGGAGTAACACAGCTAAAATGGCCGTTCTGAATTAAGTCTCTTCCTGTCGCACCCGGCAATGATGCATAGATCCCCTGAATCACCCATTATGGCGTAAGAAGAAACGCATGCACCCTCACAGCTGAGAAAGGAAATCTTGCAGTTTGACTGATTCTATTTTTCCATCATCCAGCAGTGAGCAGATACTTAAACTATGTGTGTTCAAAACCCTTTTCAAAACGCGAGGAAGCAGACCACAAAAGGGTGAAAGAGTGATGAAAAATATTCGCCCACATCGTTGTTCAGATATATGTGACCTTCATGACGCTGCAGATGCTTGTATCGTAGCTTTACCATTCAGACACCGTCTTTGTCCCTCACAGTCTCTCTGGGTGACTAATCAGAAATCTACCGGAAGCAAAAATTTCACACGTCCTTAATCCATCGAGTAATTAGTCTTTCACATTGTCTGACAGGCACGTCTCCCAGTCCTGTTTGGCATTTCACACATTTCAAATGCCAATGCTAAATAAAATAAGATGATGAATATGGTAAAGATTATACCCGCTAAACATCAGCATTGTCATTGTGAACATGTGACCATGCTTCCCATTTTAGCCGAGTATGAGGTTATAGAGACGCTAACGTAGATTATATGTTTTTCATCATGGTTACAATGAGACGACAAACAAAAGTTTAAAGTGTCATAGATTCCAATACCCTATATATATATATAGTGTATGCTTATAATATCACTGTTTATAATATTAGTATTGGATCTCATCAACAGAAATAATTCGACTTAACATTTAGCCCATTTCTACAATTTGAAATCGGGAAACAGACAACCCTATTCCACCTAATTTATCTAACGGGGACAGCACACATTAATTCAATCAATCTGTTGGAACTGTTCCATATTTTCATCTGCAACCCCTGAGATGTCATGCTGTTTCTTTGTTTTTTTGATTTGCAGGCTTGTAAAAAATAAACCTGTTCTTAGTGAAAGGTTATTTTATTTTTGTGATTCACAAAAATGTGTTATGGCTTCAATTGGACAACATCAACTTTCCACCATCACACACTGAGTAGGGATTCTGTCTGGTAGATTTATTGGATACTAATTTTGGTGTCAAATCCTCTGCATCTATGTCCCAGCGTTCCCCCTCTGATCCCTCATCTCCATTATTATGGCTTACAAAGCCATTATGACTTACACAAGGAGGAGGCTTACTGACCTGCTAAAATAGGTCATAATACCCCTGGAACACATAGACATTCTGAAATGATTGTGTGCAGGTTTAAATATATTCACCCTGTTAGTCATTGTTGTTGCGTCTGCCTCCATGTTTATCTCAGGCTGTCAGATTTAACTTTACAGCTTCTTCATTCATCTTTCTCACCTTTTTTCACATTGTGTTTTGCACAGATGGCCTTAATTTAAACCACCTGTGTAAACAAGTTTACCAGATAATTTAGAATAGTTTAATCTCTCACTATAAAAGACTCAGAAATCAATACATTGTGATGTAAAACAAAGTTTTGTTTCATCAAGGGGTCCTTTTGGGCTTGTCCAAATCGGACTGAAATTTACACTTTTTGTTTGTTTTCTATTTAGTCTGGTTCAGTTTCACAGTGCACAAATTAAAGTGGACCAAATAATGATCTCGGACCAGTTGTTTTGGTCCTCGCTAAATTATGACTACTGCTTTCAGAACTGACCGCACTAGAGTTCATTTTAAACGGACTAAATTTTGGCTTGTAAAAGCGCCCTAGATAGTAGCCAATATTGGAGTAATTGACTGCTGACCGCTAGAATGCCTCTTCTGTAAATTTCATTTGCAGGTGCGTCGTTGTTCATTACACAGTTTGGCGAACTGGAAGGGGAAGCATTCAGGGTTTTGGCTCAGCAGGGGAGAATGTCTTACAGTTTTTTCATTTCAGGTTGTCTAAATATATCTCCTTTGCTTGCAAACGAATTGCTTCTTTATTGATGTTTGGCAACATAATCATAACCTCAATGTGGTAATCTGTGTTGTGAGATTACCGTGTCTTCCACTTTGAGCCAGCATTGTCGGTCTTGATTTGTGCCAAACGACTAGCTTGTGGCTTCCCTACGGTAACCAGACAACAGGGATTGTCCCAGTTTCAAGCTGAATGTCCTGAGTCCAAACAAATATCCATAAAACACTGGAATGTCCCGGTTTTCAACATAATCAAAATAATAATAATAATAACCTGTCAGTTAGTTAGCTAGCTAGCAAGCTAACTTAACTTGTAGTCTATTTTTTACCTCTGGAAAACTTCTAGTTCGGTACAAATAGTCTTGGGCATTTACAAAATGCAGGCTCAAAGTGTTCAGGCGGGAGTTTACTCAGTTTAACCGCATCATTTCGGGTGTTGGGGTGCTGAGGAATGACATACAGAACAGAAACTGTGGGTTTGGGGGGATGTTTGCCATACACATAATGAAGCAGACGGGACAAACACCATCCATGCCTGCGACCAGAGAGTAGAGGCGGAGATGACTTTAGAGGGCAGAGGGAGAAATGTGTTGCACGTCCTGCCATATTTGTGATTTATTTTGGATGGAGAACTCGCCCAGATGGATCATATGTTTAGCAGAGACACCAGTGTACAGCTCCCTTCCTCCCCTCCTTCTCACGTAGCCTACCACTGAATCATGTGTGTTGTTAACCCACGTGTTTCCTCAATATTTGTATAAACATCTTTGCCACAAAGTTGGAAAAAAAGTTAAAATGTCAGAATCTGTAGACTCTCCACTGCTTAAGTCCGTAACATTGCGAGATCGTACGTGACTCACACAGCATGCTAGGACGCAGAGGAGGGAGCTCGACACACCTGCCTCTCACTGTGCATATTTGGTGGATCTGTGTGTCCGTCTACACTTTGAGTGAAACCAATTGACGCTCAAGAAAGAAATACCCATCATCAACCAATCACACCTCTTTAAAATAATGCATCAACGGGGTCAACCACGTGTCCTCACTTAGGTAAAAGTTTATTTTTCTTACTTGCTCAGAGTTGCTCTGAGACGTTTCTAAATCACTCTGCAACTAGACGTTTTTAAGAGAGTATTCTCCGACTGTTTGTGAATACGGCCCAAGGACGGTTTAAATCAATATTAATTTAATCACCCAAACTGTCTGAAATAGAAATTGTTGGGGACACAGTGACATTTTTCTCTCTGGATCCCGATTCGTTGGACTGGTACAGGACAATTGCAGCACATTCCATTAATCTACATCAAGCTGACTTTTCTCCATTTCAGTCATTTTACCTGAAAAATGATATCAAGTGAATGTGGAATATGTGCAGAGGTGGCCTTGTCACTCCCCACAAAGATACACCAAACTCAGGCTAAACGTAACCTTTCTTCAGAGGTCCAAATGTCTGGAGAGGTCTTCAGGATGAGTCATCAACAGGTTGACAGTTTGATTACCGGGGCCTGCTGTCCACATATCGTAGTGAGCTTGAGCAAGACTTGGAACTCCAAATTGCTCCTGCATGATGGTTAGATCGCTGCCGTGTGTGCGTGTGAAAATGATTGAATGAGAGGCAAAATATTAAAGCGATTTGGATTTAAAGTACTGTATGAATGCAGTCCATGTA